GATTCAAAGTCACCCTTCCTAAAAACTATCCTACTCTTCCTCTTGAACATTCTTAATCGCACATCCTGATCTCCAATCCCAGGGTAAATTGCTTAAATGCATTGACCCAAAAACAGGAGAGAATTTCTAAAACCACAACGTTCCGTAACACTATGATCTAAAAAGGTAGCAGCAAAGTCAAATTTTGTTTATCAACGGAATGTATGTCTCATGAAGGTTTTCAGTGTCTGTTTGCAAATTTAAACTGTTCTTCTGTTTTTTAATGTTAATCATTTCAGACACTATGCGTTTCCTGTAATTAGATTCTTTATCAAGAATTTCTACTTCATTCCATCGAAAGTCATAGCCGTGCTGCAACCTATGTTCGGTAATCACTGAACGAGTTGTCGTGTTACGTTTAATATGGTTACTATGTTCAGATATTCTCGTTTTCAATTGTCTACTTGTTTGGCCGACGTAAGGCGCAACACAATCATTACATGAAATTTTATAAACTACGTTGTTTCTAGAGTCTTTTGAGAGGGAATCTTTTTGTGCTTTAACATATTTACTCATTTTATTCGGGCTACGAAAAGAAACTCTGATATCATTATTATGAAATCTTTTAAATTTTTCCGTGTGACACGGAACAAAAGGTACAGTAAGCCAAGAAACAGACTTTGAATTGTTTTGAGTATTAGTAGGTTGGTCATTGACAATAAATTTATTTTTTAACAAATATTTTAACCGTTGATTAATGGTATTAAAAATGAAATTTAAGGGATAATCATTATCTAGTAGGATATTGTAATGAAGTTAAAATTCTTATAATGAAAACTAATATCTGACAAAAAAAAAGGCTCTGTCGACTAAAGAAAAGACTGTACCTCTTTTCTGAGACAGTGGGTGGTTGGATAGGAAATTCAAAAATCTACCCGAAAAAATAGGCTTATGGAACCAGTCAAAAATTAGTCTATTATCTATATATATTATTAGTCTATTATCTATATATATTAGTCTATTATCTATATATATTAGTCTATTATCTATATATATTAGTCTATTATAAAGTTTTCTTATTTTGATTTCAAATAGAACAGTAGAATTTTTACAGCTGTAATTTTAGACTATATTTATTGAATAATGGATTTAAACACACTGGAATTTTATAGAGCCTACATTTTTCATTACATCTCTGTTAAGATTTATGTAACTTTGAGAAATAACACAGAAAGGAAGATTCTTTTTCAATTTATACACTTTTAATTTTATACTTTTGACTCTTTAATTTATATACACAATTTTACTCGTTAATTTTTATTATATTTAACCCATTAACGCCCACGGGGCCACTTTTTTCACCACTTCTTCAGAGCTCTCTAGATGGGATAAATTTGGACCTTAAAAATTTTTGAACACATGAAACTGATAGATTTTTTATCGATCTTTCCAATGGTGACATCCGAAATTAGAAACAAAAACGAATTATTATTCAAAAATGAGTTTAAGTGTAAAAAATACCGAATTTTTTTTGTTTTTTTTTTTTAAATTGGATTTTTCATCAACTGTCCGTTATGGAATCATCTTGAAACCAATTTAGATGGTGGAGGGAATGTCTGAACTTTAGAAAACTGCATTTGGAAAATTAATTTTGTCACCTGAATGATCCAAAATGGCGTCCGAAACGAGAATTTTCGCTCATTATGTTTAGGTCGTTTTAACTAAAAAACTATAAGCTTTTCGAAAAAAATTATAATTACAAAAAAGCCTTAGAATTCATCAAAGAATGCAATAGAATTTTTTCAGAATTTTTGGAGACAATTTTGAAAATTTTAATTCTCGAATTTTTTCATAAATTTAAAAAAATTCAAAAAAATTCTGAAAAAATTCTAATGCATTCTTTGATGAATTCTAAGCACTTTTTATTGATTGCAATTTTTTGTGAAAGTTGTTAGTTTTTGAGGAAAATAATCTTTAAAAAAAAAATTTTCGTTTCGTGAAAGAGTCCTTTATTTCTTCAATTATTTGTTTTCAAAACCGCAGGTTGTAATAACGCGGATAATACATTGCAATTCTGTTCATTAAGTAAAAATTTACAGTTTCTAGATTAATTGCGTTTCAAGACCGAAAATCCATCGGCGCGCAAATATTTAGGAGGGGGGATATTTCAGATTATTAGAGTTGCGTTGCAAGACCGAAAAATCTTTCGGCGCGCAACAATTAAGAAGAGGGGACATTTAAAAATCAGATTATTTGGGGGGACTATATATAATTAGAACGTTATTTCTCACTTTGGATAAATATTGCGAAGAATATTACTACGTCGACCCGCCATCAGAGGTCTATCGATATTCGCAAATTCTCGCAAGTGCTGAGACACGCGTATATCTCTTTATATAGAATCTCGATTTAATAACTTACACCGGCGTCTAAGGTAGGCTTCCACTACAATATCTTACTGATGAGTCCAGTAGTGGAAGCCGGGACAAAACGCCAAACATTACGTGATATTCCTCGCAATATAGAATATTAGAATATATTATCAGATTTAGATTGACTCTTATTCGCCATTCTCAACGTATTAATTATTGTTTATAAAAAGAGCCCTTTATTTCTTCAATTATTTGTTTATCAAAAAAGTCTAAGAGACAAAAAATGTTCACTTTGACCTAGAGAACCTCTAGTAGAGAGAATCGCCAACTTGGTCACGTGACCAATTACGTGATTGGCTGGAGGAAATGAGCAGATTTGGGCACCTCGACACCAATGCATTATGTCAGAACACATGGCGGCTCCATCATTCGCGATGAAATATTTATGTCTCGATTAAATGGTCCGGGGTCCGGGAACGCCGTCGGGGTATACGAACACGAAGGCTGCCACTGCTGGGGTCAGTCTGCCACTCTCTAAATCTCTTCGTATAAGGTTAGTGATCGTTGATCGATTCTAGACACAAACTTCAATACCTAAATGTACATCTCTTATGTAATAAAAGTTTACTTATGATTTTTGCCAATAAACACTTTAATATTTCGTCAAATTTATAACAAATTTAAATAATATTAAAATATAATTACTAACACGATCAACTAGAGTCGATCAACGATCACTAACCTTATACGACGAGATTTAGAACGTGGCAGACTGACCCCAGCAGAGGCAGCTCTTCGTTTTCGTGTACCACGACGGCGTTCCCGGACGTCGGACCATTTAATCGGGACGTAAATATTTCATCGCGAACGATGAGGCCGCCATGTGTTCTGACGTCATGCATTGGTGTCGAGATGCCCAAATCTGCTCATTTCCTCCAGCCAATCACGTAATTGGTCACGTGACCAAGTTGGCGATTCTCTCTACTAGAGGTTCTCTACTTTGACCCAATTTAGCGTGCAGAATTTTTTCAGAATTTTTGTTCAATGTTTTGATTTTCTAAAATCTAAATCCAACGTTTTAGCGACTGAAAATGGTTAGACTCAATTCCTTATATTATTCTGCAAAAAAGCATGTATATACACTTTCTTTGTTGAAGTGGTCATTAAAAAGTTACAAACAATTTTTTGTTTAGAAAATCTAAACTTTGAACAAAAATTCCGAAAAAATTCCGTACACTAAATTGGGTCAAAGTGAACATTTTTTGTCTCTTAGACTTTTTCGATAAAATCAATAGTTTTCGAGATAAAAAATGTTAGAACTTAAAAAATGACTAAATTTACGATTTTTGTTCTCACGAACTAATTATGCAATCAGCACGAATAAAAAACGAAAATATTCGACCAAACTTAAACTTTAATGAGCAGTAGAGATGGTACACCAATTCAAAACCATGGGGCTCCGAGGGGGGTGCGGGGCGCGGGGGAAAGTACAAGGCGCGGG